ATTGTGAATAGAATTTATACCTTGGACGAGCTCCGATTCCTGAACCACACAGAGCCATTATCAACGATGAGATCAGCTGCATTGAGAACGATAAATTTAGTGTCCTCAACTATGTTGACGTCGATCTCCACGATTCCAGTGAATTTACAGGCGACAAGGTCCGGTTTGAGCTTCAGATCGTAACGTTTCGGGACTGCAAATTTCGGTAGTCTCGGCTGGCCTTTGAACTGCTCACGTTTCTGTTTCGTCTCCATCTCACTTCTCTGTTTCAGGGACTCGGAGGAAGGTGACCTGTGGAGTGCCAAATTGCAATTAGCCTGCGTGCCCTCAATCGCATTTAAATATCAACAGAAAAAATTAAAGAAGTCTTAGAACTCAAGACTCAAGAGCCTACTACCCGCGGAAGGAGAAYTTAGATGGGCTCCCCACCAAGACCGAGCGCGCCCCGTGCATTTACAGGAGATGTTCCCAATGCACGGGGGCGATGTGTTGTGGGGCGCTCTGAGTAGGGAGCCCATCTGAACTCAGGAAGGAAAGACCTTTAGCTACGGAAAACTTATGACTTATCCTTCTCACACGTGGGTGACATGCGGAGTGACGGATCAACTGTTCCTTCACGCAAGAGCTCTTCTGGCCTTCGACAAGTATGTCAGCGTATTGGGGTTAAGTACGGGTTAAGCTAAATCAGAATGTGACCCGACTTTATATTCACTAACCCGGACATAATCTTTGATAAAATATTAAGGGCGTGTTTGGTATATTGGCGTTGTGTTGATGAAATATGTTTTACTAATTTACCACATCATATATGTATTAATAAATAATACATATCTCATCATATATGTATGAGATTACTCTCTATTGTACCTAATTTGCAAAAAAATGCAAAATGTTTTAAAGACAAGTTTCACCGCAATGGATATTGATGAGAGTCAATAATATTTTTCAATATGGTAATGCAGCCCACTTCTAATATGTCTATATCTTCTGTTATCTAAGAAGTTTAATTTAAGACTGAATACCCAAACAGACTTAATC